CTTTGTGGTCGTGGCTGACCGAGGTTGCGCAGTAGTGTAGTGTGCTGCTGTCGTTGGCTTGAGCCTGGCCTCAAGATGAAGTGTCAAGATTCTGATACGCAAACATGTTACCCAGTCTAAGCCAGGGCAGTCTCCGGAGGACTTGATGCATCATTGTGGGCCATGAGGCCATGAGACCATGAGAATCCATGATAGCATATCCGAAGAGATATGATTGATGATTTTGGGCTGGGCGTGACAATTCAAAGAACGTTGGCCAGCCGAGGCAGCCGGATGATGAACCTAGGACCTAGGCTAGGCAAGCTAGGCCAGAGCTCTCAGCAAGCCAGTGCGTGTGACTCGCCGCCCAGCTGCTGCCGTGAAAGCTGCGGCATCACTTGCCAGGAAGTACGGCGTTGGCGTTTTTAGAGGCTGAGCACCTCTGAGCACCCACGCGTGTCCAAGATCATTGATCATCATCATCCCGCAGATCCCCAGCAACTTTTTAATAATCCTGCATCATCGCACAATTCAGAAGCAGCGCCTCCTGCTTGCAGCCTCCTGTTCGGTGGTCATTAGCGAAATTGGACCTACAAAAGTTATGAGAAAATTGAGTCTGAGTCTGCAACTTATCACATAACTGTATGTCTGCAACTCTGTATGTGACATAGACCCCATCCACCTGAGTGCCCCCGAAGAGGTAGCCAGAGATACTTTATTGGAGGTACTTAGAGGGTGTTTGGCCACTCAGCTGATGAGCCTTCCTGATGGCTGCAGCAAATCCGTCGAGTGGGTTTGGAGGAAAAATTGACCACAGCGCCAGTTCGGTTTGCAGTGCATGATCTGACCATATGTGGGACATTCTGAAATTCTCGACATGCAGCCCTTCACATTTTTCATGAAGCACTGGCTGTCCTGCCGGCATACATCCCGCCGTCCAAAATCCGCCGCACAGAAGCCAACTGGCACGGCCATAGGCTCACTGTGAACCTTCAGTGCGAACGCCTGTGGAGTTCGGGAAGCCTCACTGTTTCCTTGAATCCTGCGTTTGCCAGACTCATCAACCTTCACGGGGTTGTGACCCGGGTTGAAGGATGGTGGGACAGCAATGGGGAACAGGCTCTGGGTCATCGCAAGTCACACCGTCCATGCACCATTTCATCTGCCGCTGCCGCAGCTTTCAGATTTTGAGGGAGTGTGTGAAAGGCTGAGGGTGCTTGGTATGAGAGGAAAGACAGGGAAGAGGGTGAGCGCCAGCGGAGGGGATTTTCTGGGAAGGTCAGTGGCATGAATGGAAGGCTCAGTGTTTCCATGATGGGCATGAGATTAGTATTCCGATTATTCCACCAAATATTTTTTGGCTTGTCGCTGGAATCAGAGGGGGGAGTGAGTGCCAGCTGAGGGAATTTCCGGGAAGGGGCGCAGTGTTAGTGGCATGAGTGGAAGGTCCAATCTTTCTATGATGGGGCATAAAACTAGTGTTCCACCAAAACAGTTTTTGCTCTTTCCTGAAATTTGGTTTCAAAATCATGTTTTTCAGTGAACCAAAAAAAGTTGTGCTTTTTTGGTGCTTGTGGTTGTGCTGACTGTTACTGGGTGGGGGCAGTAGCCAAGACATGTCCTCCATGTTGAGAAGGAACATGGGGGCGATTTTTTTCCAATGATATCCTTGGGATGGTGTTGCAAGCAGTGCTCCAGCTCCAGGGTGGGGTTAATGGCTGTAGCAGGACCTCCTGCAATACCAGCTCAGCCTGCCGCATGGCGGAAGATGGGGGCCTCGTCAGGTTCGAGCCAGGGAGAGAGCCGAACGGTACGGTGTGGTAAACAACACTCCTTAACTGGAGGTTCGGCAGCTGCTGCAAGCGTACATATAGCGAGCTTCGATCAGGGCAGCCTTGGCCACCTTAAGTAGAAGCCAACCCCTTATTAACAACCTCTTGGCAGGCGCGCGAAGCCCTGGCCGAATCGAATGCAGGTGTGACGCGGGGCGGCGACCACAAGCTCCAGAGGATTCAGACCGTGGGGGTAGCGGCTTGGGCCCGTTGGTCCAAAGGCCTTGTCTGTGCCTTAAAACAAGGCTGGATTAGTCACTGTAAGACAAACATGCAACAGCGGCTTCAGCATTCCGTTCATCAGCACTCTCTGCCTAAGGCTCTGTCTCCTTCCTGACAAGCACATGTTGCTGTGCACCACCATCCTTATAGGAAAGATTGTGAGATTAGCTTACAAGCTGTGTCTCTGGACAGGCCTCACTATAGGCAAGCGGATTCTTCGATTTATGCCTTCGCGCATCTCCACAATACCGAGCACACAACCAGACGCTGGTTCCGTGACCGTGAACCAGCCATTGTGAGCGAGCTTGACCTTGCCATCGGATCGCGGGCGGCCGCCTCGAGAAGGGGGTGCATCGTAGCATCGCGTGGCTATCTTTTCATGGCCATCCATAGCGACGGCCTTGACGTCATGCTCGATCATGTCCGGCACGGCGACCTCATGCCACCAGCGATCATATTCCTTGAGCCAGTCTGCTTGCAATTGGTTGTCCACGCGAATGCTCAAGATGCGCGCATGGCGTTCTCGCCAAGGAAGGGTGACAAGCATGCTTGAGGTCTCCTGGAGGAAGAGAAGTCGGGCAGCTCCGTAGTGCAGACGGAACCTGACATGCTCGTGCTCCAGCTCCCATGCGCAGTCACGCTGGGCCCACTCGACAGCCCGGACGGATAGGAAGCCTCGGAACTGCAGGGCATCGTGGCACCGTGGGAACTTCGCGTCAAAGCCGGTGTGGGCCGTGATGAAGATGTAGTCGCAGTCCTCCACGTGGAGCGAGTTGCGTTTCCCTCCTCCGATCCAGCGGAAGTTGTAGTAGTGGATGGCGGAGGTACAACGCATCCGGACGCGCTGAACGGTGAGCATGCCGCCCAATGTGTACACCGAAGCATTGACGGCCGGCAACTTTTCGGCAAGGGGAGATCCACAAGAAACGCACTGCGAGCACGCACGCGGCGGCTGTGCCATCTCCTCGACCTTTATGTGGTCCGCTGCCGCGCAGAAGGTACGGACCGTCACGTGGGACGTCCTCTGAGTAGGGCACATTACGGAGAGCGAGCCAGGCAATTGAGCTGCAAGACGATGTCCTCAAACTCCTCGAAGTCGACGCGCATGCTGCGTCCGCACGTCATGAGTCAACGAGGATGACGCCCCCCTGCGCGAGGAAGTGGACTCCCCAGCAGTGGCCACCTGCTGCATGGGGCTGATGACCAACGCGAACATGTCCGGACCACTGTATAAGTCTGTCACCTTGTCGTCGGCGATGTGGATGAGACAGTGCGTTGTGTCTCCCGTTCGTTGCGAGGTGAACAGGGGGTGGTCGTTGAAGTCTTTCGCTGAGACGCTGCCATCCTCGTCGGTCTGGAACGGCCGAACTCGATGTTCGGGAAAAGCACGGAGATGGCGTAGTGCAAGCACGACGCACGGCGATTGGGCTGATCTTCCACGTGCAGGAGGCCTGGCGAACTGCTGCCTGAATCAGGAATTGCGGTCAACTGTCTCCGGACCAGGCCTCGACCTTCATGGTCTGATGTAGAGACCACCTACGGGCTTCTGGGGGTTGTACACACGCCGTCCCTTTTGTGGGACCTAGAGTGCGCTGATGACACAGTCCTTATGTCTAACTCTGCTCTGCAGATTTCCCGCCTCCTGCCTATTATACAGAAACAAGGGCACACCCGTGGCCTTCTCAGCGAAGAAAAATGTGACACCTCCGGCGACACCCGGAAAACGGAACTTTCTTCTCACCCGATGCTACTCAATTCCCATGCTCATGCGATTTATGTACCTCTTCTCTCCCACCCGGTGCTTTCTTCGGAGGTCAAATATCTAGGCGTCTGCCTTGACGCTTTCTCCTCTAGCCAATGTAAACTACAGAGTCTCCCAGGCTGTTCAAGCCTCATGACTGCTTAAGCCTCTGCTTTCCCAGTCTGCCCTGCCCTTGTCTGGAAGCTTACGGGTTCCTGGTTACCGCTGCAAAGTGCTCTCTATTCTCCTTTATGCCACGGATAGCCTTCTGCTTTCTAGCTCGCAAATTACCAAGTTGAACTCTGTCCATTTCAAATCACTCAAACGTATTTTTAAGATCAAGTCCTCCTAGTATCATAGAGTTATCAATCCCTCAGATCAAGAATGCTCTAATGAGTATCTTTCAAGTTTGGCCTTCTCATCTAGAAGAGTTATCCCTCCCTCACAGCAGTATTCCCACGACAGGTTGCGACTACTCGGCCATGTTCTTCGACACCCTCAATACTTTACAAAGCAACGTTTATGCCGTCAGGTGCCTACCGACAAATCCCCGGCTCAAATCGAGTCGGACGGCCGAGACTTCACTGGGCGGAATCATGTATGGTTGAGGCTTCTAATGGAATTCACTATATATATGTATGGTAACCCCCCCCTAGGACCAACCTTTAGCATTTTCCCTTTATGATTCACTACTTGTGTCA